GTTAGGGGTAGGGTTAGGGTTAGGGGTAGGGTTAGGGTTAGGGTTAGGGTTAGGGTTAGGGAGTAGGCGTAGGCGACTCCCTAGACTCGTTAGTGGATTAGGCGAGGTACGGTCCGGCATATTAGATAGTACCAGCAGAGCATTTACGTTCCGGCAGTACCCTGGGGGACATAGACCCTCTCAGCCTAACTATGCTACTGGTTAACACTGTACCTTAACATGACTCTGTGCTCCAAGATTGTATATCTCAGTTGGTCGAACTTCACTGATGATTTTGACTAGGCAAGTGCTATCAGTTAGATCACCATAATGAAGTTTCATTGACCCCTCCGTGTGGGACCTTGTATCAGCGTACAAGTGCTGTATTCTTCCGGTGTTGAACGAGCTTGATCGTCTGTAATGTCAATCATAACGCAGCTAATAAATACGGAACACCGGTGTTTACTATGTAACATAGCAAAATCACAGGCCCTTCTTGCATAACATAGAGAGGTAGATTGCTAGGGGAAAGAGTAGTAACCCAGGGAGATTGCAACAGGCCAGAGCCAGGGCAAGGGTGTCGGTACAAGTAGCGTTTACACACCCATGTCGTGAGTTTGGTTAGGGTTAGGGTTAGGGTTTTTAAACCTGGGGTTGTCAAATAGGAATGGGCAGGGGTGTCTATATTTAATATGATCTATGACCTGCCTGCAGCCTCGACTCACGTCACGAGCTAACTCCTTTGAGATGTTTCACACGCTCCGATGCTGAAATAAAACCTCTATAATAATAATAATTATTACTATTATTAATATTAGTGATACATAAATACTTGTGTTCTGGCTCGGAACCTTGCTAGCCTACCATTGGAACAGACGAGACAGAGCAAATTGCCATTTGTATCACATCGCGTAAGTACCTTATTATTCCATGGACTTGGTATCCTTTCTCCAATAGAAACTCGGCTAGATACGATCCATCCTGACCCGTTATTCCCGTAATAAGAGCTACTTTTCTAGAAACGTTTGGGTCTCCAGAACCATTCACTTCGTTGACGCTTGCCATCGTTGTCATCGTTTCACGTGGCAGGTGCGCTTATGATCACGACGGCAAAAAGATCGCCGAAAAACACATTTCCACAAAAAGAGGTCGCTGCCATAGCATAGATAGAGCACGGAACGGTAGATAACTTTACTTTAGTTTACGAAAAAGCTGTGCTAAGCTATCTGTTAAAACACACATGGCAATCTTGCGCGAGTTTTAAATGGTCCGCTTTCTGTTTACATTCTGTCGGTGCATTTATAACGACAGCAGAGTGTTTACCAGAGTTGTTTACAAAGGGGGTGTCTCACCATAGATCGCCCACTGCGCCGCTTGTGGTGCCACCTAGTGGTAGATTGTATCAAATAGTGTATTCAATGCATTTTATTATGATTTTATATCATTATGAAGAGTGAATAATAATAGCTCTATTATTCACTCCTGATTTTATCATGGGAAAATCGGGGAGCAGGGCAAGTTGATGGATATGGACTAGGAACAACAAGATACAAGGGAAGCAGGAAGGGATAAACAACAGGGTATAACAGATGAGGAGGAAGCGTGATAGGGAAGTTAGTGGCTGCAGTGAATGTGGGGATGATCGAATAGGGAAGGTATTGTCCTAACGAGACTACAAAATATATACATATTTGCTTTGAATTTATTAGTACATGTAAAGCCTATTTATTTCGTTAAGAAATCGAGGTTTAGAAATAGCACAAGAGTCACGAAGTTTCCTCATCAATCTCAACAATATTTGTGCAGATACCTACTTCCAAATATTGACTCAACAATATATATTGTTGAGTCAATATTTGGAAGTCATAGCCACTTCAATAGAACGTGACATATCATCAAGCTACAAACTGATTTCATGAAGCTATAGATATAGAGTATAAATAGGTTTCTTCATGCTTATATCAAAAAGGTAAAATAGACAATCTGTTCCTAGATGACATAGTTAACTTATGTATATTTAATTATAATTACACAAGTCTGAGATCTCCTCACTATTACAATAATATAAATGACAAAAAATAACATTTTCTCAGGTGATAAACAATTAGTCTAGGGTCAGTAATGCAGGTACTGACATTCATATTTCCAAGCGAGCATTCACAGTAGCGGCGATTATAAGAAGCGCACAAAGTGAATATTTTATGGAAATGCTGCTTTATATTATATATAAATATATTTATGAATGTTCTGCTTTTTTGTCTCTGACACTCACACAGGAATTTCCCCTTACATAGAAGCGTGCAAGCCGCTCTTTGCCTGGGCCATTAATTCCAATTCTTGTCGTCAGCACTATATCCTCTTGGGCAATATCTTGATCTCCATCCACCAACCACAATGAAATGCCCTTTGTTAAATCATGCTGATCAAACTGAGATTTGGAGATGTCCATAGCATGGCAAAGTTTTGATGGCCCATTACATAGATGAGTATCCTTAAGTGGTGTGTTAGATTTTCCTCTTCTCTTGGCAAGACGGTGAGCTCTCATTGCATCAGTGCCTTCCACTGGTTCCAGAGAGCGAATTAGCACTGCCGTACCATTGCCTAAAAAGGTAAAACTGTAAACAGATATCAAGTATAACAATAATCTAATAATTTACACTCACAAAATATATAAAATCATATAGTAGCAGCTGGTTGGGTCTATAGCGTGCATGCATTCTATAGTGAGGTGAGAATGTGTAATACGTGCCACTATATAACACTTCAAGTGAGCAAATATCTCTACTATATTTCACCTATTATTACCGATAATTTCCTATAAATGCCGTTCAAATGCTTCTCTGCAACACACAAGTACACCGCACAGATGCCACTGTGCACAAACAACAACACAACAAACAACAACAACAACACAGAACAACAGCAACAATAAACACATAACAATAACACTATACCATATCAATGACAGTAACAATACAACAATAACAATATAACAAAAACAACAAAAAAACGATATTAATTTGTTGTTGTTTGTGCACAGCGGCGTGGTTGCATTTGAACGGCCTTCACAGGAAATTATCGGTAATAATAGGCGAAAGAGAGCAGAGAAACATGTTAGTACATTTCGTGTTTATTTACCAATAGTGACAATACCATAATTTTATTACTGAAACGTTCCAAGTGCCTGAAATGAAAGTCACTAGGAGTGTGACAATTGTTCGCTTGCAAGTTACAGCAGCAACATTATACCTTTGCTCGAAATGTTGAAGCATTGATACATTCCATAAATATTATATACATATGCAGTTCCAGGATCCATGAACATCGCTGCATTTCGCAACGTTTTGCCTTTATAAGAATGGGACGCCATATCAGTTGATCCTGGATAGGATTCTGTTTCAACTATCTTGCCACAGGCATGTGTGCCGTTCTCAAGTTCCCTTACAATACACTTTCCCAGTAACAGTCTTGCCAAGTGTTCACAGTTAACATTATAGACACTCGATGGCAGAGCTGGTCGCTTCACAATGCTGTCTTCAGAAGAATACAAGCGCGAATCATTACTTTGAACTGTACTACTGTCAGTAACACTGAACTCTTGACCACTATTGCCAATGGCACTGGTATAACAACTTTTTGCAGGCTCTGTGTTTAACTTCTGTATCTTCTTAGATGAAAGAGTCACAAGTCCCGAGTTCGTGGTTAGCTCCGATTTTGACGCATCCCAAAGTCTGCGTTTACAACGATTCATGATGTGCCTAGAAAACTAAAACACTGTATACTATCATAGAAATATAAATAGACACTAGTAAGAGTCTAACTAGTTATTTCTATGGTTAGTAAGGTAAAGTTGTGTACTGAAACCATGATAGAAGACCACAAAATGCGATGATATTGTCGACCGATAGATGGCGCTAAGAATAATGTAGACGGGTTCGCACTCGACAGTTCCACTCGCGTTATACTGACTACTGACACTGACAGTGTAACGCGAGTGCAACTGTCGAGCGCGGACCAATCTAAGAAAAATGCGTGTCTTGTGTTATCTATAATAAATATGGCTGCGCCTATGCTGAAAGCAAAGTATGTATAGATTACACTAAACATTTTGCTGTGGTTTCTATAACGTGAAAAGCATCCGATTTTTTAAATCAAATTTCACATAATAGGAAATATATTTATATTTTTTAACTTGTATTACCTTGCGATTTTGCCGAAATAAGACTATTCCAGATGATTCTTCGTTAACGCATGATGCGGCATGGCCCATGGCATTTATACATAGGCCGTGTCTACGCGACCGGTTCCGGACGAGTAGCCGCTGGGCTACGCGTCCGGACATCCATCTCACACAGTGATCTTGCGACACGCACACGCATGATTGCGCAACGGGACGCTCTGCTGATTACCTTGTGCGTGTGTGTGTGTGTGTGTGTGTGCGTGCGTGCGTGCGTGCGTGCGTGCGTGCGTGCGTGTGAGAGAGAGAGAGAATGTGTGTGTGTATGCGTGAGAGAGAGAGGGAATGTGTATGTGTGTGTGTATGCAGTGAGAGAGAGAGTGAGAGGAATGTGTATGTGTGTGTGTA